TAATGATGATAGTTTATTCTTGTTGCTGCTGATTTTCCAACATCAATGCCATTTCAAGCAATTATGCATCAGATATTTCTGGTATTGCATCGTTGGTCGTGTTTTTCGAGACGACCATGGCGGCTGCGCTCACAAATTTCATTGGGGATGATGTTGCAGTGTCGCATAGACTCATCTTCTTTGAATTGTCATGTTGAACCATGAACGTTTTCGCTTCCATCTGTATCTCACCAGAAATACTTCGTTTAATTATTCTAGGCGATAATTCAGGTGTGACCTATGATAACAACAGCATATATATATCATATGAGAACAAATGCGATTGTCTACCTTATCTTGGGAAGATGCCATGGGTGAGTTTGAAGAATTGCTTGTATTCATGGTTGTTGTTGTTGCTTCTAGGAAACTAAGACATAAATCAAGAAAGAAAGAATCACAAAGAGCAATGCTTCTTGCATTACTTACTTGATGTATTTGGCATTTCTTTTGTTGAGCAGTAAAGTCGAGGTCAGTTCAGAAACAACTGAAGAAAATCTAGAATGAAAATATTCTTTGTTAGTATATGAGTTTCCTGTGGTTTTATATGCTTGTCTGGTGATGATAATAAGTTATTTCCTACTGTAGCTTTCAAATTATCGAAGACATTTCAGGTAACAGATTATATCACTTTCTTGTGAGAACCAAAAGTGCTCCTATGTGACAAAACAGCAATTCTTGTAACAAAAACTATTGGAAATATGAAAAAAGGGCACTACAACGCGAAATGTTTTGCATTCAAACGAGAAAAATGTCCCACGAGACACGCTCTTGCCGCTCACCTACATGCGATCTATTCTTCCTATTTTCTCTCTTGCATGCTGCCGCTTCCCTTATCAAACCTCTATTAGACCTGGTGAATATTCAAAAATAGTATCATCACTTTTTATCATAAAATCTGTATAGCTCTTGTGCGTCTTGAATTTCATATAGTTTTCGGCCTCAGTATGTTCATTTTTATTTGTTGGAACAAGCTCATAAAAAAAATATGTAAATCAGCTGTAAAAAGAATTCGATTTCGTTCTTATAATTATCGCAAGCAAAAACTGATAGCTAAAAATTGTTAGCTGTATATTTAACAGTCTAACACAAATTATCTGCCAAATCAGATTATGATTTTTCGAAAACAATACAAAATCTCTCTAAAATTTTGATTTATTTAACTAAAGGAATCAACAAAAGGATTAATTTAATTAACAACAATTTATGTTGCCGCTGTGCACATGACTGTAACTTGAAATAAGAAGCAATTGAAAAAAATTCATTAAAAAATAATTATTTCATGTTCAACTAATGATATACGAAATGAAAAACGTTTTTGTTATCGCTTCAAAAAGTCTATGCAAGTTTTACACACATAGAAAATGACTTCAGAATCATATTACATCGTTGGGAAAGAAAATTCAGTTGGTCTTGCTCTGTCTGTAAAAAAATAATTGATACACTGGTGAAGATTTGAATCTTATAAGGGTACAATGAGTAGATATCGTGATTTATAAATTCTTTCGATAGATATTTTAAATAGAAAATTTGAATTATTCGGAGCGATCATGCTGCTGAAAACAAAACATAATTGAGAATGTCTCCTTTAACCTTTTAATATGAAATTTTAGCTTATTTATTAATGCACCATGCATTACGTTATGTCGAATATATTTTCTCCGTTTCAATCGTTTAATTTTTTCTCATCTAAACGGTAAAATCAATAATAATGAGGTTGATGATTTCAGGGCATGGTGTTTACTCTCATACAACATTTGTTATTTGAATATATATATAGAAAAAATTCAACATGCATTTGTTTTCGTTGTAACTACGATACCATTCATTTAGGCTTCATCAATCTTATTTTTAAAGGTGATAATAATTGAATTTTTATCATAGGCGAAATGTTTTCCATTAAAAAAAACAGTTAATATCTATAAATTATACTAAAAAAGTATTTACAAGCGATTACTTAGAGAATATTTACTAGACACCGAAATTGACAATGCGATTCATAGTGTAGTACATGAGTGGTATTGTTTATCACCATTATAATCAAGATTATAAATGTTACATAGTATATAAGAAATTTCGAAAAAGTTATCTTCATATCGCGACATCTTTACTCTCTACTCTATTGAATACGATGAGATGAAATAGCAAGCAGCTTGAATATGTATTGTTTTCTTTTGTTTATAGTTGGTAAAATATTCTACATCTCGAAAAAGTCTTTAAATTTTGTTTAATTTTTGAAACATGTTTAACTAATTATGCTCGAATTGATAAATAAGATATTGAACATGTAATTAAAGAAAAAAAAGACTACTAGCTATCAGATTTGTTTCTAATTAAAATATGAACATTAATAAAATAGATACAATTCAAGTTGTAATATTATCTATATCTATTTTAGATTTAATAAATGAAAATCAATGAACGAATACTGTCAAGAAGGTTTCAGATGAATAAATGAAAATAGAGAAAATCATATAAAATTGCTTGTTGTGACTTTTATGATTTGTCTTTCATCATGAATTTGTTCAATAATGAATAATTCAATAAATGTTCTCTTACCTTAATCGTAAAAGAGTTTTTATTTTATAATTTTTGGAATATTTTTCATGTTCTAAAAGAAATTATGATAGTTTTCATTCTCATAAAACTAGTTATTCTGTTTTTTTCTTTTTGTCGATATACTATTTGAACAAGTCAATACATTTTTTCTGCATAAGCACAAACAAGACTGAGAAGAAGGAGAAAACTAGTTGTTGTAAAATGATTAAAAGAATCTTCAAATGGAATTCTGATTATCAATGAAATATTTTTCGTTTCCGTTTAAGTTTAATCGCGTTTTGTTAAGAATTTTGTTACATGAAATTTTTCTTTGATGTTAAAAAGCGAAATGCTGAAATATGTATTAATATTTATATTAATTCAATAATATTTCAAACAATGTAGCCAAGAAACATTTTGAATATTGATGAAATAAAAAAAAATATTCTGTAGTATTCAATGATCGCTTTCAAAATATCTCAACGCAACTGAATAAGGCTATGGCTTGATGTTTTTTCTTCAAGTGGCTTTTTTTAAGTACTTTTTTTCGGGAATGAATCATTATTCAATCGAACATTAATTTTATTAAGGAATTTTGTGCCACCTTTAAACCGTTAAATTAATGTTGAGATTGATAGATCAGAAATTGAGCGCAAGTTTATTTACTGTTAGCTAGGACTGTTGTGGAATTTTTTTTCAATACTATTGAAAAGTTTCATTTTGTATCCTTGTGAGGAAAGTGCAATGATCAACATGAACGATCAAACAGTTTTATTATTTCACGATTAGAAACCAAGATTATGAAAAAAAAGTTTTAAATTTTCATAATAGATGGAAACATCAGCATTATTATTTTTTGCTAATATTGAAAATATAGTGTTGTAATTATTGTTGCACATGAGGACAAAAATCAACAATAAAGGCCTCTTGCAATTGGAAAGTATCAATATTACGTTCAGGTCGTCTCCAATACTCCATAGTTGCCATTTGAAGTTCACCGCCATCGTCAATGAATTCTCGATGTTCAGCACGGTATAATGGTATATCATCCTGCTTCATTAAAGACTCAAAGTCACCATCGAAGTTGATGGGTTCCAATAAAGCAAATCCTCGTCCACAATACTTGGCGATACGAGTGCACACATTTTTCGAGGTTTCGCCATTTAGACTGTAGACAATGAAGGATTTTGTTGCCATGGCTTGCATGAAAGCGAATGTACAGATGATTTTATTACCTAGAAGTTTCATAAAAAAAAGTATTAGAATTAGCAACAATTGTAATATTAAGTGGGAGATAGTGAACTGCAAGATTTCAGAAACTCTAGAAAGAAATTTCCAAGCCATCTCTATCTTCC